ATAGACTGCGTAAGTCCGTAAGCAAATATGATTGAGATAATGCGCAATGAGCTACTAAGCAGGTAAGTCAAGTTACGAAACCACTTGTCCTAACCTCTCAGTCTAGGGTCATTAACGTTTATCCGTCTAAGGAAAGGCATGACTGGGGCCGTGTAAGTTGGCACGTCTGGTTTGGTTGATGAGTTTAATCAGACATGTTAGACGAGTGTGAGCGAAGTTAGAACCATCACCGAGCAAACAAATTGAGTCGCCTTCTTTTTGACGGCGGCTCAACACCCTCTCTCTCAATCTATCAATCAAACATAAGTAATTCCTACTCAATTTTCTACCACCATTCCTCTTATTCAACGTATTTCCTAAGCTATTAATTTCAATAGCCTCTTATCTTTTTTTTTAACCACAGACGTACCATAATCAGCAAACCTACTAGTTTTGAGACCATTCTATTTCATGTCTACTTTTTACCATATGTTCTCCCTCTTCTGACCGTTGGATTCAGCTACCTTTGCAAGCATTTTTATGTTCTACCAATTTTTGTCGAATAGGTCGGCATGTCTCATCACCATAACATCGACCACAAGAGCAAACAATCTTGTAGCAGCCGGATCTAGATAATGGGTCATATTTCTCTCTAAAAGATGGCATAATATAAGAATGAGTGAGGGTTCCTTCGAACACTGTTCTTATGCCCCACTTCCTCACTAATTCGCCTATCGTTTTTGAGAGAAAACATGACGGCAAAATCAGGACATCGGAAAAGGTTACATTCTGTGCCTCTGACTAAATGGTCTCCATCTGAAAATGTATTCCTTAGTAGAGAGATATTATTCTCAATTAGGCCCAAAGGATAATTATTTTCCAGGAATATATTTGTCAGACGCTCCAACTCTTTAGTCAAATGTGTGCTATCAGCTAGCCTCATACTTCTAAGAATCATTGACTTTAAAATTCCAACCTTAGTCTTGTAACTATGGTAGAAAAGAAAATTAAGCAAAGAACCAACATATGTTGGCTTCCTATAAACATCTCTTTCTAACTTATCCTTTTCTATAATTATGAGAACATTCAAGAACAGGTAAGGACTTATTCTCTTCCATTTCCATCGTGAACATAATGTTCCTTTCACTCTGGCTGAGTGAAAATAAGAAACTATCTAAATCTTTGTGAAACTAAGGAGACCATAAGCCGTGGGGGTCCTTACATCTCTCTGGAGTAGTAAATTCATTTTCCACTTCTCCATTTCACCATTACTTAAGCTATATCCATCTAGGTTTTTAATTTTTTTTGCCTTAGCTTAGTCTATATAAGAAGTAAAAAAAAAGCCGGATAGTCTTCTTGGCCTAGTGTTAAGATTTGACTTTTACAAGAATGACAACCAGCTCCGATGATGTCCATCATATGATGGACGATAGCTCAGCACGTTTTCACGAAAAACGATGGAGGAAGTCCCATGGACGGCGTCAACATGAATATCGTATAAAATCCAACCGGCTGTAGTACGAGTTTCATCCGTCCTCATTTGGTGAGATCGACCAACGAACCTCTTCTTCATGCACTTTCATACGAAATGAAGCCCCCCCTAACAATGTT